CTGTACATTTAACAAGCAATCACTGTTGCAGGAGTGTCTTAGCAGAAGTTTTGTTCAACAGGCAGAGAGTGAGGAGGAAAGGCAGGAGTCACGAGTTGCAATTGGGGAAATTCTGACCAAACATAAAGGGTGAATTCTTCTCCTCGAAGGAGGTGCAGCACCAGGACAGAGGTCCAGAGGAGTAACAAGATCTCCACCCTTGGAGATCCTACCCAATTCAGCTGAAAAAGGTCCAAAGACCCCCAAGGCAGCTCTGAGGTTAGCCCTGCTGGAGCAGGTGATTGTGGAGGTTGCAAACATCCATAAGTTCCTTCCAACCTAATCCTTCTGTGAGTCTGAACTCCTGAGATCCTCTAAATAAGCCTCCTCTTACTCCTTCCCCTTCATCAGGGCCACATTTTGAGCCACGTTCCAGGACCCAGCCAGACCCAAGGGTAGACTTTTATCCCCTCGAATGATACCAGTGGAAACGTGAAGATGGGAATTTCCTCATCAACACTAAAAAACGCCACCCGTCCCTCTTCATAATCCAGAGAGACGCGGATCCGCTTGGGAGTCTGGATTCCAGGAAGGAGAGTGCGGTTAGGAGACGTGAGAGCTTGGAAGTGCCCTGCCCACTGCCCCACTGCCCAGATGCCCTCCTCTGGTTTAAACTCAATCTCGCCCTTCCTGTTCACATCTTCTCTAGAGATGCCCACAGTCCATCCTCCTCCATCCACCGCCTCCACCTCCCAGAAGTATCTCCCTGAGGTGAAGCCTTCACAACCCAGCACGCAGCGCCACGGGGTAAATCTCTGAGGGGTGTTGGGGACATCCCGCCGCGTGTCTTCCCGTTTCACACTTTTGCAGTCGTCAGACAGGACGAGGTCACAGTGGGCTGTGTCTGGATCCAGAACCACCCTCACTGTAGGAGAGATGGAGTCAACACAGCAGGGCAGAGCTCGCCTCAGGGGAGATCTTTGCTGGGGCTGCATAAGGAAGATGAGAAAGGGTGCAAGCGACAGCCAGCAGACTGTGACATGGGAAGCTGCACAAAGGAATATTAGTGCAAGAAACAGAAAGTGAAGCAGACAGATGACATCGAGCAGGGAGGGAAGAAGATTGGCAGCAGACCTCCAGGTTGAAAAAGTCCCCATGTCCCTAAAACGCGGCCAGCACTGCTCACTGAGGACCAGGACTCTCCAGATTTGCTTGAAACTGGGGCATTTAGCAAACAACCGGGGCTGAGTGTTACACTCACTGTAAAGCGAGGGTTGGCAGAAGCATCCCCGGTCCCAGCAGCATCACTGTGGGAGGGGAACTACAAGGAAGGGAGATTAAAGCAGGGCAGATGATTCAACACCCTGAAACACCAAACTTTAATTACCTTCATTTATAGGCACCACATATCTTCTCCATGCTTAAAAAAAAAAACAAAACCACAGATGAGAGGTGATCTGAAGACACTTGTGCTGGATTAGCTCAGGATAATGATGTATTCAGACACATTTTTATGGTGTTTGTACTTTCTTTGACAACTAAAAGCATTTTCCTTTAATATAGACAGATTGTAGGAAATAGCTTAAAACCACACAGAGAGTAAAGGAAAAAACCATTTCTGAAATGAGTTCAGAGCTCTTCCTCTCCCAAAAGGAAAACTAAACCCAGGGCATACATGCAAAACCAGATGAGAAGAAAACCCAGCTGAAAAGTTTCACAGGTAGGAAGGAGAATGATACTCACCAAGTTCTTCAGCTTGCTTTTCTGAAAAACAAGACATATCAGCACAAATGGATTGTAGAATATTGATTTGGGTATAATCTTTCCCATAACCACCTACACGTGCAGGAGGGTGGCTTTCTGGCAATGCAAAGCCCTCTCCCACCCCCAGCCTGCAGCTCTGCTCTGCAGGTGATGGTGCAGGTTGTCCTGCTCAAATCTAGGGCAGGAAAAGGTCTCTGGGAGGTCCCTGACCTACAAAGGGACCTGTCACTCAGCATTTCCACCAAATCACAGTGACAGCAGCGGGGGTGCGCAGGGCACTCTCACCCTTCCAGCCCCAACCCCAGACACCATCTTCAACAATCTTTCATTTTTTGACTCTCAAATTCATTCTCTCCATTTCCCCCCAATCCTACAACTGCTTTTTGGTTCACTTCACACTTCAAAAGTGAAAAACTAAAAAAAACCAACCAACCAACCAACCAAAAAAACCCCCAAACACCACTCAATACAGACTCTAAAAAATCCTTTGTAAGGCAGAGGAGGAAGGAGACTCACCGATTTCTGCATCACGGTCCCCTGAACAACAAACAGAGACACACAGGAGTTACTATTTGGCACAGTCCGTTCCCTGGGATCCCAGCTAAAGGGCTGCACAGGTGAGGACAGGCTGTGGTGATGGGGATAGATGTCCTGATTCATACTCTGATTGCATGGATGCTCCTGATTCCCAAGTGAGCTGACCTGTATTTATTTTCCCCATCAATCTGCATTGGCACCAAGTTAGCAAGAGCTCATTTTTTTTTGTAGCCAAAGGACTATTTCTTAGCAATTCCATGAGCTGCAAGCAAACAAACAAATAAAAATATATTGCCTCTTCAAGTGTTTGTTTTTGTGGGGTATTTTTAATTTCTTGGTAATCAAACAATCTACATTTTTATAAGTAAATTCTCGACAGCTTAGGTTCCTGTAATCTTCCCCTAAAAAGGATTAAATTTTCAGTACTATTTCACTAATTAAATTAAAATAGTAGTGTTAAAAAGCATTGACAGACACTCAGGAAAAAAACCTTAATGATTTTTCAGAGTGAATTTTCATATTATTAGTGGGTCAGGGGAGGGGAAATTAAAGTATCTGCCTACAAAGAACATTTGGACGGAATGAGAGGATGAATGAAAAAGTCTGAAGGTTTTCACAGAGGATTTCACCAGGAAGATGGGAAGTGAGACTTACGCAGTGCTGCCTCTTGCATCACTGAAAAGCAAAACCAGAACAGAACATCACCACCAACACCCATTCCTCTTTCACCGATACACTTACTGGGGTGGGGAGGAGACTAAAATTGCTCATGATGGAAAAGCTTCAGCCCAGGAGCTCCTCAAGACCTTTCTTTTCAAGCCTTGTGGAGATCTTGCCCACTTTCCCTGAAGCCACCTTGGGCAGAGGCCAGCGCTGTCTTGCTGGAGACCTGAGCAAGGGCTGCAGATCCAGGCAGCGAAGGGGCAGGTTTGCACTGACAAGGGAGGTGCACAGGGTTAAATTTCACCTTCAGCGCTGCCTAACCACCCTGCTCCTGTGGTTTTTTAGTGCTAAGACAAAGCTGAGGCCCCTATAAAATAAACTGTGCTACCCCAAAGCTTCCTCCAGTTTTGGGAAGAACCTTGAGAGCGCTTTGAAAAGCAAAGTTCACTGTTGGTACAAGATCTGTTCATACTTTCTTTGGTTCTGCAATTATTTTCCTTCAAATTACAACAGCATTTCATAATTTTGTCATTTCATAAATTAATTTCACCATTTCCTACAGCCCCTAGCCAAACCATTTCCCTCCCCCACATCCCCCAGAAATGTGCCCTAGGAATTCATCCATTTGAGGGAATTATCCCATTTCTGGAAAACAGAAAGTAAAACTTACCTATTTTTTTCTCATGTTTTCCTGTGAAGGAAAGAAAGAAATGTAAACAATTTAAAAAATCAATCCCTCCAAAGAACATTGATTCAACTACAACAGGAATCACAGAAAGGCTGTGGGGTTGGAATTGCTGCAGATCCAGCACGACCCACCGCTCCGGCTCCTTTGGGCAAGAGACAGAGGATTTCCCTTCCTTTATTCCTCTGTATTTACCCCCAGCGGGGTCTTGCAGAAGCAGAGGAAGCCCCGCCAGGCCCCCAAAAGCACCAGGGCTGCAAATTATTGCTCCCTTTCTGCTGGGGCTGGTGCACGCTGCTTTAGTGCCCAATTCCCTCTTTCCCAGCTGTTTGGTTGGAGAAACAACATTTCTTATGTTGCCAGAAATTAAATCCCTTGGTCTTTAAGCTCCCGGGCACCACACGTGTCCCAGACACAGAGACAAGACTCCAGGACCACCCCAACATTTTCTAAACCGACTTGTCCATCAACACTGAAGGTGATTGAACACGACAGCTGCCCACCCCCTTCCCAAAGCCCCACCAAGGTGATACCTTTAATTCTAAAGAGATAAACAGTGACAATGAGGAGAGTGACCACAGCAACCAGGACCACGCCCAGGGCGGTCATCCAAGGATGGGGGTTTTGGAAAAAGGGATCTGAAAAATAAAATCCTCAAAGGGGTTACTCTGCAAGCAGCAATGGGAAGTAGAATATTTCCATTTCATACAAGCTCATTCCAAGCAGGTCTGAAACCCAGTGAGGGTGAAAATCAGCTCCTGACTGTATTCCACAAACTGACAAAAAATAAAATAAAATTTTTAAAAGTCAATTTTGGCAATTTATGACATGTCTGAGGCTGATGATGTTTTGTCTGCATACATTGTGGGGGATTTTTAAAGGGAAAATGGATTTATAAATGAATTATTTCTAATTAAATCTTACTTTCTTTTCCTTTGGGGGAAAAAAAATATATATTTCTTTAGGCAAGATAGGATCAGAAACGCAGTAACATACACATTAACTGCAACATCTAGTGCAGAGCAGTATCACCAGGAGAAAGGTACAGGCCCCCTGGGGAAATGAGCTCTCCCCAAAATTGTTCATTCCCAAAGTTAAAAACAAACAGGATGCAGCTGAAAGGCATATGATGCTGCAGTGCAGTTTGGTGGATGGTTAGTCCAGTTCACCACTGTGTCTTGGTTCTGATACATTTCCCCACCCCAAATCCATCTCCCACTAAAGAAGGAGCTTTTCTGTATGACAAGGAAAAAATAAAAATATGTTCAATATATGGAAGTGCTAAAACAAGAGACGACGATTTATTTCTCCTACCAAACCAAAGCAGAACAGGATTTCACAGCAGGTGACACTAAGGGCACAGGTTGGTTTCTCCTTTTTCCTTTGTTTACAGTGTGATGAATGTTTGTATTCAACCCAGGTGGCTGCAGAAACTCTCCTACTCTGAGGGTTGGCTTTTTGCCTCCCTAAACCCTCACTTCGAGTGAGATCGGGTGAATCTGGGCAGCACACCTGCGCCAACGGTGCCGAAAGCCACAGCTCTTTGCACACGCAGCGTGCAAGGTACATGGTGTGTTGGGTTTGGGGGGGGTTGGCTGTTTTTGGTAGTGGGGGAAAGGGTCACCTTGTGAGAGTGAAAAGGTCCCCCCGCTCCAAGGCTGAGCCAGTGAGCACTAGAGAAACGCCTCTGTGAATCCATATTGGTGAGGGGAAGGACTGTCCTGAAAAGAAGGAGGAGAGAACCTGGAGGAGAGGCCATTGACCTGCCTGCTCACCTGAAATGTAAAAAGCTGATCCCTGTTCTTGGCTGTGCGGGACATGTCGGATCAAGCAGGAGAGTTGCTGGTTCGTGCCCCTGGTGAGGATTATGCTGCTTTCCACTGCAAAGAGGCCGCTCTTGTCCTGGGTCACAATTTCGGAGAGGGATGGGAGATGCCACCCACGGGTATCTTGCCACAGCACCTGGGGCTGCGGGTACCAGCCGGCCGAGCGACAGGCCACCCGGATTCCCCCGTCCTGGAAGCGCTCCAGCGCGACGAGTGGGGCAGAGCCGTTGGCTGTGGGAAAACAGAGACCTCCGGGTCATCCCCAGGTTCCAGTATAGGCTGGGGACA